CACACAAAAAGAGATTTCAATAGACAGAAAACAAGAGGTAATTGCCTGCAAGGGATGATCAACTCACAGATTTGACTATTTCAGGTATTTGGACAGTGTAACATAGACGCTGAGTCAATTTATGTTCTAATTATATTTGATATATTCAACTGAATTGGAATCAAAGTTCAATTTCATACTGCAATTAAATAATTAAAATACACTGTGGGTATTTATTTGCCCAAAATGACAAAAACTAAAAGAAAAAGCAACCAATAACCAACCAAACAAACAAAACATAAAGTGGCTCCGGTACCAAATGAAAGGGAAGTAGATTGGGGCCAGAGATGAAGGGAGCTGAATGGCTGGGTAAGAAGTCCTAGCAAGAGACTTCAAGCTGAAGGCTCTACACATAAGACGATACTCTGCAGTGAGACACCACAACTGTCCACAGGCAATGGGAGAAAGATTTAATTAAATTTTACAAGACAAGTATGGTCAGTGCTCTCAATTAGGTAAGAAAAGCCTTTAATTTTAAGTGGAAGAGTATGGTGATATCTCTTTGAATTTGTGAATGTTGAATTAAATCCCCTGTACAGTGGACCCTTGACTTATGAACTCGATTGGTTCCTGAGGGCTGGTTGTAACTAAATCAATACAGCTGAGATCTGGATGTTTACCGGGGTACAGGCTATAGATAACAAGAGGCAGGTGAATCATCCATTGACCTAATTAACCCTAGTTGTTCATGTCAGGCTGGTCATAACCTGAGGGTCCACTGTATTTCACTATATTACAATGGCCACTAAATGAGATGAAATGTTTCCATTAGGAAGGTTTTTGTGGGAATGAACTGAATTTAAGATTGTAAATGGTGGGTAGATGACCACTAAACATCTTAGATTTCTGAAGAGCCAAAGAGATTTAAGAGTGTCCCTTTGTCCTTATAAGCGTGTTAGTTTTCATACCATCTACTCTGATTTTTGGTTTGGGATATGTAGTCCCTATACTTAAATATCCTAAGAATAAGAATAGAAATCTTAATGCAAATGTAGATATGCTTATTGTAGAATTTAAGTAGTAATAACACCCTTATAAAAGAATTTTTATTTTTTAGTTCCTAGGGATTGAACCTAGTGCCTCACACATTGCTAGGCAAACACTGCCATTGAGCTACATTTTCTAGCCCTGGAAATGGTATGTTTTTTGTTTTATATCCCATGTATGTGAGCCTAACTTGAAATTGATTAGTCATTATGCATCATTTCACTGAAAAGCAGAAGTCGTAGATGCTTCTGAAGTATTCCAGAAACACTGATATAAAAATTATATTTGCAAGAAAATCCTATTAATCATATGTAAGTGGGCCCCAGAAAAAAGAAAACTTTGAGAATGCTTACTGAAACTTTAAAGATGGCCATACTGAAAGTTATCCTCTTTAAGGAAAAAAGAGAATTTTTATTAGAGTTTCACATAACACATTTAGGTAATTCAGATTACTTTCTAGGTGATTTTATAGGTTACCATAGTGACTATATCTTAAGGATTTATAAAAGGTAGATGTATTGCAGTGGCTGAATGGCACAGGCTGATTCAATAACATTTGTCTGTATTAACAGGGAATGAGAAAGATGTATAAAGGAACATATAGTTTAGGGGGAAAATGAGGGAAGATATATGTGTTCACACATATATTATCCTCCTGATATGGCTGTATTGCCCAGAACCTCCATCCTCAACTCCAGCTCACAGGTAGGGGTTGTGAACTATGAAAGGAGCCAAAGACTTGGGCAATTCATGTTTTAGTGCAGTATAAAATGCAGTTTTTAATGCCTTTAATGTTAATTTGATCAACACAGACATTCAAAATGTATAATGCAAGCTCTACAGTAAATGTATTGATCAAATTTGTCTTTAATTAAATTTAGAAAACAAACTAAAATCTCCATTTTGCTATATTAAAAACAAGAAATTTAACCAGACAACTGGCTGTTAAATGTCATATAGATAAAACATTTAAATAATTAGTTTGGTTTTCAATTTTTTAATTTCAATATTTGCTATCTTTAGACACAAAGTGGATTAAGAATTAGTCATAACTCAATTTCTTTGAGTTAGGAAAAAAATGTGACTCAAAATAATGACCTATCCAATGTGCAAAAGGATTATTACTTTCCTGTCAGAAATAATGTTACATCATCTCTGTACTGAGTCTAGAGTTGTAATATATAAAATGAAATACCTCACAATATACTACATAAATATAATTACAGTGTAATATGTTCTAGTAGAAGTTAAAGTAATTATTCTTAATGTTATCTCTTTTTGTTTTTCTTATAGAAGTATTTCATCCTCTTAATGTTCTTTTTGATTACTGGTTTTATTTTAAAAACACTGAAGTAAAAATGTAGTACTCTGAGCAGAGAATGGACTCAATTTTCACATTTCCAAGGCTTAGTAGTGAACAAGATACAGTACCTCTCTCATGTTTGAGTACTTTAATTTTCTCAACAAGTCCCATATTCCATGGAACACAGATAATGTTGAAAGACATTGTAGGAGTGGAAGACATTAATAGAGAAGACCTGAAAAGTGTTATATACATGTGCCAACTCCCCACAAGGAATGTAATCATTATATATTATACACATGTATTAATAAAAAATGAAGACTGAAAAAAAAACCTGAAAAAATAAGAAATTGAAGCATTTCTTTTTTTTAACCCACAGCAAAGCCATCCACTTCTGGTCTCTGTGAGGGTGCTCAACCACTGTCCACAAAGAATTCACAAGTAGAAAGTGGGATGTGACTGGCAAGTTTTGCAATACAAATTTGAGGTATTTTAGAAATCAGAGAAAAACTGCAGACCAAAGAATCCCTAGCGTAATATTTTTTTCTTTTCTAATATTCCAATAAAGCTTTTTGTTAAGAAAAATTAAGACTGCCACTTGTTTTATGCTAACCAATCATGCACTTTCTTAAGGAATAAGAAATTTCAAAATCTGAAGAATAGTTTTTCTATTGCCTTTCAAAGGTATCTTACTGGTCTGAATTTTGGATGTTCAGCCTTCTTAACCATGTGTCAGTTCAAACTTTCTTTTAATCACCAATGCCCCTGTTAAGAGTTCAGAGTTTTACTAGCAACTGATCTCTTTCTAGTCTGAAGCTCCTACAGTTCAGATATCAATAACTTTTATAGTTTTCTCCTCTATACCTTCTCAATGGCTGCTTAATTCACCAGCATTCTGAAGCTTTCCTTTTTGGTAAAAAGTTGAATTTCTTTCATACGATATTGCTAGAATAAATTCCAGTGTCTTATTTTAACACCCTGTAGCCATTTCTATACTCACAGGATTTTTAAGGTGGTCAAATTTACCTTCTCAGAGTCTTGTTTGTAGGGGAAGAAATAAAAATGTTGATCATTTTAACAGCTTCAAGAAAAATCTTTAAATCTTATTTTTGTGTTGTATAAATTCTAGATTTAGTATATGAAAATCATGCTTCCTAAATGGTTGGTAGGGTTCAGATATGTTTAGAATATGTGCTCCAAATGTTCAAGTGCTGGAAGCTTCAGTGAGGTGTTATTCAGGTGGTAGAATTTTTAAGAGGTGGAGTATAGTGGAAGCCACAGGAGCATTTATATTAATGCTAGTCTCACAGGGTAATTCTATTCCCTTGAGAGTGACTTCTTATGAAAAGAGCAAGCCTAGCCCTTCAATCTTTCTTCCTTTCTGGCCAGGTTATCTCTTCTGCGGGCACTCCTGGGACCATGACGTAATATGCCATTTTGCAACACGGGCAAGGGGGCCCTCATCAGAGGTCAAACAGATGCAGCCACTAGGTCTTGGAATTTAAGCCTCCAAAACTGTGAGCTAAATAAACTTCTTTTTCTATATAAAATAGCAACAGGAAACAGACAGCTAACAAACTGGCTATCATTTAAAAATATATCTTTGAAATGTTAAATGTTCATGTAAAAGACATCAACTATCAGTGGCCAACATTTGTACCAACAAAGCAATAAAGTAAGAATTGGCTGAAAATACATCAAGATGACCTTGACAGACCTACAGAACTTATTTTTCCCAAGGCACACAAACATTTTGGGCCAAATCCCTTCTGGAAAAGAGGAATAATTAATTATATTCTCCCCTCCTACTTCTTACAAATCCTCAAAAACTCCATAAAGTAAATGTCATTTTCTTCAGAGCAGCTGTACATTTTCCAGCACAACTATAAAAGGGAAAAATTGTAATAAAACATTATTATTTACTTATTCACATTTGGTGGTTTAAAAATATACAGAATGTGTATTCCTGGTTTATACTTTGTCAAATAAATGTAACTTTTGCACACCTCCTTTGTTTCATATAAGGAAAACAGTCTGGTCCGCGGGAATTGGGACACCGAAACAGCAAGTATTTCACTGAGACTGACATGTCAAAACAGGAAGAACTTCTGACATAATCAGCACTAATAACAGTATAAGGAAATATTAGCTAATCTTTCTGATGAAGAATTTTATTAAAGGAAAATTCATATTGAGTGTAAGTGTGATGATGCAGGTTTGACCACCAACTATTGCCAAAATACTGAATTTCCTTATCTCATTGATCTGTAACCTTGGAGTTATTTTATGTGGTAATATACTGCAAATAAACCATAAAAACAGTATCTTAGAAAATTACACTTAATAAGATGGTCAACAGTAGTGATATTTATAAGCTATTGGCAGGTTGGAATACAGCCCACGTAAGGACCTTCTGTGTAGCAAAAGGATTCTTCAAATCTAGCTATTTGTTACCAATCATGTAAATCCACTCACACAGATATAAGACTGAATAGTGTGATTAACAGAAAAGTTGCTGGGCCATGAGAGCAAATGAGTAACTCTAGCTTGCCCATAACTAGCTATACAGACATGGCGAAAATCTGCTGGCTTTCCTTCATCTACAAAATTCAAACTGCACACTGGTCAGAATAGTTTTGAGGATAAAATAAGACAACACAGAGAAAAGGGGTTATAAAATTTAAGATTAGAAAATTTAATTTTTTGATTACTAGTAACATTGTTATTATATTATTTTCGGACTAACCTATAAGTTGTATGACCTAGTATACTGTTGGTCTTTTATAGGCGGTAAAGAAGCATTTATTTCCCTGAAGAAACATGTGAAGAATCATTTGAAAAGCACCATTTCCCTCAAAAACTTAGTCTCCCAAATGAATTTTGACTTTTTACATGAAACACTCTGATCAGGTGCTACTCAACTAACACTAACTGGACAGCAGGGAGACCTTCAACTGACTGTGAAATGAATTCTATTCTGTGTGCATGCATGGAAAAGGATGCTGTCCCACAGTGGTTTCAGAGATAACTGGGAGTTGCCCTACAAAGGAAGCTAACAAGGGGGAGGGGGGTGGGATAGGGCTCATTTCTTATAGTGCCACTGGTCTGCCTGCACACCATGGTGCTTCTACAGGATCATTTTGCTTTTGTGAATAGGATCAAAGGGTAGAAGCAGTGGAAGGTGGAAAATCAATGGAGAGTGTATAAGCTGGTGTCGAAAAAGACCAAGCCAGGACATGATTATGAGAGATACTGGCAGAGAGCTATGAGAGAAGGAAGTAATAAGTTTGAACAGCAGTTCTATGAACTCCTCTCTCTCCATGTGGTATGAGCTTTGGAAAATAATTTCATATTTGTTTATTTCCTATCTACTCTGTTAGACCACTTTTGAGAAGACAGGAAACAGAGGAAAGAAGGGGAAATGGCACCACTACTAGTGTAATTGGGCTAGTCTTCAAATCCTCCACTGTTTCCCTGTGAGTAAGTTTCTTATAAATGAGAAACCTCCATGAAGCTGTTAGCTTGCTACCTCTCCAATGCTGCAGAGGACATTCCTGGCTGGAGAACTCTCCCATCAGCCTAATCAGGTCATTCTGCATTTTAGCCCTAAGCAGTTGCTTCAGGATGAAACACATTGGTCCCCATAGTTACATCCAATTCTGAACATCCAGACCTGGAAAGAAAGAGAGAGCAGTGCCAATTCAACTTTAAATTTCAAGAGAAGACAGGGAGAGGGCCAAGTCCTAGAATTTAAGGGACTCCCAGAACATAAGGAAGTCACACTTAATCTGATTCAATGTTCTGCCCCTTCTCATAGTAACTTAACCTTCTTGTGCCCTTTCTCCTATCTGGGAAATGGGGATATAATATGAAAAGCTCTGGTTTTAAAGAAAGTTTAAAAGAAATAATGTATCTAAAATATTCAGAGTACACTGCCTAGCACATAAATTCAATAATGGAAATTATTAAGGTCAAGATTGAATCTTTCCTACTGTACTAAGTTCAGATTGTTAGTGTAACTTATGTGTCAAGATCGACTAATTCCAAGTGTTTTATTCCCTCTAAAATAAGGCTTTCCTTTAAAAATTTCAGATAAAGATATTTTGCTCACTCAGAATGCAATCTACTGTCCATGTTTAGTTTTGGTGTGAACTTAACTTTATCAACTCACAGCATTATATTGGCATAGGTCTATTTTTCTTTTTAATTGGGAAAAGTAAATTGCTTATCAAATAGGTTTGGAACCTAAAGCCTCCTAACCCCTCTCTCCAAATCCATCTAAATTTAATCCACAAGTAACTATGTTGAGAAACATCTTAGCTCTAAATGTTTGGAAAGGGTAGAATTTCTCATTTGGTAATTATTTTGTTATCTAGAAAAAAGTAAATTAATGCTTATAACTGTAAAACTTGCAATTTAGTGTAAGGATGAATACATTTTCTCAGAATGTAAATATTATCTTAGTTTGAAGATAGAAGAACAATGAACAACATATGCTTTCATTCAACACTATCTACCAAGTGGTAACTATGCACTAAACACACATTAATCCAAAGATTAAATTGCCCATTAAGACACTGCCAAAATTAAGATATTCCCCATGTTCTATCTCAGGAGGCAGTTGGAGTCTAGATTATGGCTGGAACAGGGAATGCTTTCTTTAAAGTGTAAGGAAATATCAGCCACAAAGCAGTGGCAGCTAGCAGGAAATGGGTTGTTGTCCCATGGTCACTGGGACTCATCTTTTCCCAGCACAGGGCATCACACCATAGACCCTTTACATCTAGCTTCATTTTCTGATTTCACTTTTCAGCTGAGCACTCTATTGTTGGGAGGAGCTAGACAAAGAAAGTAGCCTCTGCTTGAGAAGGAGTCCTCACTTAAAGAACCAGGCTGCAGTGGCTGATGGTGGACTGCAAACTGTCGCTGAGCAAGGGTCAAGATCACTAAGAAGCTTCTAAATAAATGGCAGACTCCTCAGCCCCACAGAAAAAAAATCTGAGTATGCACAGGTGCTCACCAGTTCAGAGACTCAGTTTTGTATTTTCATTTTTTGAGGAAAGGTTAAAATAAACTACATTATGACAGTGGGGCTAAATCCTTGCTTTTGTTTTATTTTTTGGTGCTATGTATCTAATGTATGACCAAACCCTTCGGCCTTGTTTTAAGAAGGCAAAGAATTCATATCAGCCTTTAAAGGAAATATTTTAAAAATCTTTCTTTCAGAAAACCTTTCTGCTATTTGTGCTTACCATGATTTTCAATGAGAAGATGCCACTTCAGCCACACATACTATTCCTGGCAATGAAAACTAAATAACATTCAGTCAAATGAATTGTGCTCAGACCTGAACTCTGGTTTTATCAGTTATAAAGCATGGGCTAGTCTCTTGGTTCTTCTGCTTCTGAATCATTATGAATGGGATACCTTTTTTTAAAATTTAAGGTCAAATGAGGTGTTCGGTATAGTCTTCAGCAGAGTAAGGACCAAAAGGGCTCAATAAGTTTTTGAAAGCTTCACAAATGTACTACCAATCTCATTTCATAACAAGAGAGACTACAAATCCTATCTCAAAATTCTCCAATTCTTTCATACTCTTCCCTGTATGGATAATGACTTTCTCCAATTTTCCCCAACTACTTAAGGAACGTTCATTTTTGCAAGATTCAGTGTAAATGACACTGATCTTCCGGATTTCTGTTACCACATTGTAGCTAACCCACCACCCGTGTTGGAATATAATTCTCTCCTAACAGAAGCAAATGAACCATAATTATGTACTGGTGTATTATGCTCACTAGACTAGAGGAAATGTAGACATTCTTAAACCCACAGCGCTTACCTTGGTTCCTGGCACATACCCCCCCACATACACACAATACACTCGAGTAGAAAGTCTTCCTGTGTGGATGGCTGGACAGAGGAATACATGGATGTGCTCGGAAGGAGGTGGTGGGTTTACAAGATCCGTGTAGACATGCGTCACATGTGTACCCCCTCACTTTAGGCTTTGTGCTAGGGGACAGGGTCTTAGGTTCTAGGGTCCAGTCTGGTTTCCGGGTTTAGAACACAGTTCCGTGGGGCACCGGCAGGGGGCGGCGTAGCTACGCAGCCGGACGCGCTGAGGGTGACACCCCCGCGGGCCACCCTCACCCCAGAGCCGCGCGGCTCTAGAAACCATGTGAAGCGGCCCCGGCTTACAGTGGAGGACCCTCCCCCAGGTTGGCGGCCAAGGCTGCGCGGGTCTTTGGCCGAGGGCGGCTTCCGTTTTCCGGCATTTTCACCTCAGGCTACCGCAGCCTCCACCTCAAGGAAAAGCTGTTATGGATTAGTTTGGAAAGAGGCAGTGAGCGGCCGAACAGATGTCAAGAGAAGGCGGGGCGCTTTCTAGCAAACCTGGGGTGCGAGCGCGAGGGGGCAGAACCGTGACAATTCTAGAGCTCTGCGCGAGCGACCTAAGCTGGAGAGGAGTTACTCTTTATATCCTTTAGGCTCCTGCTTTTAGGGTGCGTGGGAACATCCCACTGCAATTTTTATCCACCTGAAAAAGGCAAACCTTCACGGGCAGCGAGGAACGTGCGCCTCCTCCGCGCTCTTCCTGGGGCCGCGGGCGGGCCTTGGGCGCGCTCCGGGCTCGGCCTCGCGATTGGCTGCGCGCCCGGGCGTCACCGCGAGGACGCGCGCCTGCCCCACCGCGCTCCCGACCACTCCCGCGGCTCGCGCGCTGCGGACGGAAGCTGACCCCACGTCGCCTAGGGCTCGCCCTGAGTTCCTCAGAGCTTCCCGAGGTTTCCGGAAACGAAACTCGGCGATCTGCAAGCCCTTCCCTGGCTTACGGGACCCAGTAGGCGTAGTCGAGTGGACTCAGGAGGCCACACTCGGAGCGGCTCATTAATGGAGCACAGTCTAGCTAGTCAGGGACACTGTGTGAAGGGAGGTCGCGGGGACCCTCCGGAGCCCTACCTCTCGCTGTCACGACGCGCCGAACCTGGCGAGAGTTTTATGCTTAGGAAGTTTTTGCAGTTATGTGAGTGTATTCCTGACTCCTGGGGCACTGGAGGTATCTTCTCTTTGGGGAAAAGGGGGCGTTGGGGCGTACCCCCCTGCAGCGAACCCTGACCACAGCGTTCCGGCCTCCGACGCTCAGCGCTCTCCCAGGCCGACAGAGCTCAGGGCGCCCGCGGGCGGAGGCGGGGCCGGCCCCCTATGCAGATGAAGAGGGCGTGGCCAGAGCTACGCTCCGGGCCCCGGAAGCCCGCTATAAAAAAAGTACTGAAGATACTTCCCCACCTCAATTGCTAAAGCTTCAGACACGTGAGCGAGTGCGGGTCACGGGCACCAGAAGTCGCCACCTCCGGGACCACCGCAGCCGGGGAGGCAGGGGAGGCAGGGGCGCGGGCGGGGGCGTGGGGCTGAGTGTCAACGCCGGCCGCCGAGGTCTGGGAAAGACGAAGTCGCTGGAGCCTTTGCAGGGAGCGCACTCGCAGCTCTTGGAAGTGTTGTCGCCTCGCGTTTGGTCTCTCGCTTTGCTCCTAGAAGGGGCGGCTGCCTCCAGGTGACACAGACGGGACTCTCCCTTGCGCTTTCCAGATGCATCCGAGATACTTTTGGTGCGGGGCTGTCCTGCGGGGCGCGGCGCGCGGCTGGGGCCAGCGGGGGGAGGGGAGGGAGCCTCTCCGAGGAGCCCCGGGGCAGGGGTCATCCGGGGAGGGGGCACGCTGTCCCCTGCGCAGCCCTCGCCGCTGCGCGTCCTCACGCGCGCCTTTCCTCTTCTTTTCTTTTAGGACTGACCAAGGCCAAGTGGCGCTCGGCGGGCACTACATGGCAGAGGGCGAAGTGTACTTAGCTATGGCCGAGGACGAGCTGTCTGGAGGCCCCTACGTCCCCCTGGGCAGCGACTTCAGCAGCGGCGATTTTGGCGGCGGTGGCAGCTTAGGCGGGCACTGCTTGGACTACTGCGAAAGCTCCACCGCGCACTGCAACGTGCTGAACTGGGAGCAAGTGCAGCGACTGGACGGCATCCTGAGCGATACTATCCCGATCCACGGGCGCGGCAACTTCCCCACGTTGGAGCTGCAGCCCAGCCTCATAGTCAAGGTAGTGCGGCGGCGTCTGGCTGAGAAGCGCATCGGCGTCCGCGACGTGCGCCTCAATGGCTCGGCCGCTAGTCACGTCCTGCACCAGGACAGCGGCCTGGGCTACAAAGACCTGGACCTCATCTTCTGCGCGGACCTGCGCGGGGAAGAAGAGTTTCAGACTGTGAAGGACGTCGTGCTGGACTGCCTGTTGGACTTCTTACCCGAAGGAGTGAACAAGGAGAAGATTACACCACTCACGCTCAAGGTAAAGCCTCTAGGAGGGACAGGTTAGGTAGCGGGCGGGTGCAAGGGGCAGCGGTCAGAGGCACAGGGCCAACGTCAGTGCTGCGAATATGCTGCCGCCATTGGCTTGGGAGCGCTTCTTTTCTTTTTGTTTTTCCTCAATGAGTAATCTGAGGTGCGTGTGGAGGATATGGAGTTTTAGTTTACTTAGAGCTTCAGCGCCACAACTCTTCTTCAGCTTCCTCTTCTGCCCTCCCTTCTCTTCCTTCCCCTTATGGTTTAACTCTTGGCTTTCCTTGCTGGAATCTTGTCCAGAGTAGATTCTTATAGGTGGAAGAATAAAATGATATAAATAATTTTTTGGAGTCACTTTATGATCTAATCTTTGGGAAAATAGCAGCCTGAAGCAGAACTGAGTCAATGGATTTTTTTATTGTATTGGAAAATGTGAATAGATTTCATAGCTGCTTTCAGCTGACTCCCTGTGTTAAATATATATTTGGTGGTTCTCTGTGTTGGTTCACATGTTAAGGGTATAGTGGTAATATCCCCTCCCCTGCACCCACACAAGTTTGTCACGTGAGGTATATAATTAGTAAAATTGAAGGCAATCCAGTTTATACTTTATTATAAACTGTGGAGCTATAGAATGTCCCTGGAGAGACACATCAGATACTGATAACATTGTTTACCTTAGGGGGAGGTAGATTGGGTGGCTGAAGATAAGGCCGAGAGGAAGACTAACTCAACACTGTATGTTCTAGGGTGTCTTGAATATTGTGTGGATATTGTTGTGCTTTTTAGACCATTTTTAAAAAAAAATACATTTCAAAAATCAGACATGACAACAGAGTCTCTTAGTATGCTGCTTCGTCTGCCAAAACCCTCAAACTATTACTTCTAGTTTCTTTCCCTGACAGCAAAACTACTTGTTAAATGTATTTTTTTGGTTCTGTTTTCAGAAGACTGTTTAAACTTGTAGGTAGTGTTTTGCTGAAACTTGACAAAACAAAAGGGAAATGAAATAATTCTCAGCTCTAAAGAAGATGTATTTATTTACTATTTTTTCTAGGTTTGCTCATTTTATTTTATCTTTTAAATTGTAGGAAGCTTATGTGCAGAAAATGGTTAAAGTGTGCAATGACTCTGACCGGTGGAGTCTTATATCTCTGTCAAACAACAGTGGCAAAAATGTGGAACTGAAATTTGTGGATTCCCTCCGGAGGCAGTTTGAATTCAGTGTAGATTCTTTTCAAATCAAATTAGACTCTCTTCTTCTCTTTTACGAATGTTCAGAGAACCCAATGACTGAGACATTTCACCCCACAATAATTGGTGAGAGCGTCTATGGCAATTTCCATGAAGCCTTTGATCACCTTTGTAACAAGATCATTGCCACCAGGAACCCAGAGGAAATCAGAGGGGGAGGCCTGCTTAAGTACTGCAACCTCTTAGTGAGGGGCTTTAGGCCAGCCTCTGATGAGATCAAGACTCTCCAGAGGTATATGTGTTCCAGGTTTTTCATCGATTTTTCAGACATTGGAGAGCAGCAGAGAAAACTGGAGTCCTATTTGCAGAACCACTTCGTGGGATTGGAAGACCGCAAGTATGATTATCTCATGACCTTACACGGAGTGGTGAATGAGAGCACAGTGTGCCTGATGGGACATGAAAGAAGACAGACTTTAAACCTTATCACCATGCTGGCGATCCGGGTGCTAGCTGACCAGAATGTCATCCCTAATGTGGCTAATGTCACATGTTATTACCAACCAGCTCCCTATGTAGCAGATGCTAACTTTAGCAATTACTACATTGCACAAGTTCAGCCAGTATTCACATGCCAGCAGCAGACATACTCGACTTGGCTACCCTGCAATTAACAATCATTTAAAAATGTCCTGTCGGGAAGCCATTTCAGACAAAAATAGGAAAAAAAGAAAAAAGAAGTAACACAGCCCTAATTAGGGATGTGTTTTGTGCAATGATGATATGCCCCTGGTTTTAAGCTTGGCAAAGCTTATGGATCTTTTCATTGGTATGGGAGCATGATCTATAAATCATCACCCTCTTTAACTCCTCTCCCCTTATCCTCCTCAATTGGATTCTACCTTGAAACAAGAGACCTGTCATTTAAAGCAACCAGGTTCTCTTAAAATGAGGAAAAAATGGTTCATGACAATATGGGTTTGCAGTAACTGCTCCCATAGCTTTGCCGTGGTGGGGAAAAATGGTTGAAAAACTTAAGGTGGATTCACAAAAAGGAAAATACAGAGGAAAAAAGTCTTAGCCCACCTTGTTTATCAGTTCAGGATTTCAAATATTAACAATACAGGAAGAAGGGGAATTCCAACATCGGAATTACTATCTGAGGCCTGTAGCAAGTGCTTTTCTGTAGAAAGATCTTGTGGGGCTAACAGAAACAGCTTGCTCCGAATGAACAGTAGTAGATTGGTGAAGTTCTCATAACAAACAGCAGAACTTGTGATGACACAATCCATTAATTCCAGCTGCGTAGAATAGCTCGCATTTTTTAAAATGTAAAATGCAAGCAAAAACAGCTGTAGTGAAGAAAATATGCTCAAGGACCAAAGATTTAACATGAAAATACCCAAGTACAGAGATACAGAATATAGTTATTATATTTGTTACACTCCAGTATACATTAAAGTGCCTGTTGCTTTCTGAAAATTTGAAGTGGAAAAATTATTTTATGGTTTAATAATAATTTTATTTCATCAGGGACTCAGAAGAAAATAAAACAACATATAAGCTTGTGAATGGTGTAGGAAGTGCCCTATTTTTTCTTGGCAAATACCTGCATAAAGTTGACATTGTTGGTGTGATGTTATAGGTACATGTGTGTACTATGTGTGCATATGCATACATGTTGTATGTGTATACACACTACATTGATGTAAAACAATGTATCAAATAGGAAATGTTTAAATACTGTGTGCTTTTATGTTTAGGATTACATGAAACGTGGCATATTGCAATGACGAATTGAAACCCACATCTAAAAAAATTAAAGCAAACAAAAGGGGGGAAACAAGTAATATATTTGATAAGAAGAGCAGAGATTATAGATTTTTTGGTGAGGTTTTGAGTTTTTTTGTTTGTTTTATTTTTGTGAGCCAGAGAAACCCACAAATGGCAGAATGTTTGGCAGAACTTATTTTTTTTAAATATTTGAACTGCCATCTTGACAGTTTGAGCCCAGTTTTTTCTTTTTTAAATAACTGCATGCCTCTATGGTATGTAATCTTGTGGATCATGAATCAATGGTAGGCTGCCTAAATTTCTAACTGCTAAAAATAATTTCTGGTGATCTGAACACTACTTATAAATATTTAATGAATTTTTAAATGAATGCATTCTGCATTTGAGGACCACTAGAATTTAGTAAATGTGAAATGACCCTTTTTAAAGAGTATTTGCACAATTGCATAAAGTTTATATATGAGATATGTATTATATATAACATTTTATAGATTTATGCCAGTATGAAACATCTTTGATCTGGTTGTCTAACTGCATTTAAATATTTAGTACTGTATTTTAAATTTAATCACTTTGCAATAAATCAAACCCAACTTTATTTTCTCTTTTCCAAGAGACCAGTTATACCCTTGTGAAATGAACTAGCATTACTATTTTAGTTTGATGACAGCTAATCCTAAAACCACCTCATTTCCCACCCTTCTAGATACTGGTCTCTGAAAATGCATTTGTTAAAACTAACAGATAAAAACCACATGATCCCCACCAACACTATTGGAAGACTGCCTACTATAATAATTTTCCTGAAGACCCAACCAGAAAAAATTTGTCAGGAAAGAGGGACCAGGGAAGAAGATAGCATTCTCCTTTTGGCAGAGTAATATGTCTGCTATCTGGGCATCTTTCAGATGTTAAATACTACATTAATCTAGGTTAATCTTTCTGGATATCTTTTTTGCATCTTTCTTTGAAGCCTTAAGGGGAACCTGATTGGTTTGCTGTAGCAGCTTCCTGGTGAATTCTGTCAGAGCTGTCACAGCCCTGGCACTGCCACTCACTGTTTTCGAGGGAACTCTTCTACTCTCATGTTGGCTCAATCTCCCTCACCCCAACCCTGGGTTTGAAAAATTAATTGCAAAGTCCTAGGAAACATTATTCAACTTGAGAATAAGCCTGGTACTCATCTTTCAGAAACCAGAGCTCTGCCTGCTTGGTTATTTGAAAGTTTTCTAAAAGAAAACTAAAGGAATGCTGAAGAACAGAGGAGCAGCTGGTGATCTGCTTTCTTCTTATCCTAACTCTACAAATGAGTTGTCTACTATTTTAAAGAGTGGAGGTGTGTGGCTCTTCTATAGCAGCAACCTGATGTTAATTTATGACACAGGTTTTTGTTTGAAGGAGCCTTATTTGAAAATATATTTTTCATTTATTGTCTAAAATATTTATATTCTTTTCTTGCTTACTTCAGGGTTGGTAGCTTAGTTGATACCTGGCATTCAGTTAAAACAGGCTATACTAGACAACTTTCAGCATTTACTTTGAGACTTACATAATTTATTTCTAGTTTGTGTGTACTATAGTCCTGTGCATACATAGTTGAACGTGCAGTGTGATATATGTCTCTGTGGATGTGTGGCCTAAAAATCTGAATGTCTGGTGAGAGAGCTGTGTGTATAAGTCAGAAAAGAACAGTTCTCAACTCCTGATTAGTGCCTGTGATTTGTTTGCTTTTGTGTTTATCTGGCCTAGTGTGCTATTCCTTTGAAATAGGAAGAAGTCTTTTTCTTCTGGAAGATCTTCTTACCTGTCCAGTCTGGCATGTCAGAGAACACTTAGCTTGTAACAATGCCCTCTGAAAAAAGTTTACTTCATCTGCAGTAAATCCAGCTGCTTCAACAACTCCTACACCAGGATGGACTTTTCCTTTGCAGAAATGGGTTCAAGAATATGCTCACTTTGATATTGGGTGGGCTGTTTCAATGTGGGCCCAAAATAGTCAAGAATGGAAGAGTTTCTGTACTGCAAGCCAAGAAGGAAATGAAATAAGTGAACATACTATTTGTACCACCCCTTTCTGTTTGCTTATTGTTGGTTGTTTTACTGTGCATAAGATTGTTTTCAATGTAATGCTTGTTAAATAAATATTGTGAACTATTTTATAAATGAAATGTATTATGTTGAAAGCTGTCAGAAGCTGTCAAAAATAAGCTTTTTTTGTTGAAGTTGAAGTGTGTTAGATGAAACCAAAAAGTAAAAAATAAGTGACTTCATATATAGTACCTATTGAATATAATCTTTCTTTAAGATTTCTTTTAGCATAGCCTTTTCAGTGCTAAGAAAGACTGTATCTAATATTTTGTTATAATACTGGCTTGCTAACAAAGTAAATGGTAAAAGTACAAAGTGGGAAGGTGTCAAGATAACTGGGAAGACTTGCTGCAAAACTGCAGAATGGAGACTGCCTGTTGGCTGTCTCTCTCTCCCTCCTCTCTACATCAATTGCCTACTCTGAGGCATCCTACTATGGCAAGCTGCACGTTGGGGCACTCTTTTGGAATATTTTGACTGTAGTGTGTCACAGGCAGAAAAGGAGTTGATTGAAAATGGACTCTTGAAAACTGACAAGTTTGAATCAGTGCTAGAGGGAACAGATTGTGAATTTTGTTTACAGCATCCAATATTTGGATTTTTTTTGTAAATAAAAAGAAGTTATTTTTTTCTATGGATTTGTGTCTGCTGTCTTTGGTGTTTTGCCCTGGCCAAAGATAATATCTTCTGAATCCCAAATATCCATTAGGAAGCAGATGGCAGGCCATGGAGAAGACCAGCCTTCAGAAACAATCTGAATGGAGCACAGAAATGAACAGGTCGGGCTTCTAGCTACCCATCTCTGAATGACTCATTGAGCATCAAAATCTAACTCATAGTTGCCAAACTTTTGTGCATGAGTTTAGCAGTGTTAAGTAACAGAAGACAGAGCTGTTTTTCAGTATCAGTAGAGACCCATGACTGTACTTCAAGGCTCTAGGAGCTCTGAATAGGCTTTAGATTTCATGAGTAACCCAAACACTGTGATTCCCTCATCACTGATTACATATTATTACTTCTTTGAAGTGCTGTCAGGTTACTCAGTGTTTAATTTGGGTGAAATGAGTATTTGTAGCCAGGAATTGGAAAGGGAAGTAGAGAGAGGGAAGAACAATCCAAGGATATAGTACATTGAACTGTGTGTGTGTGTGTGCTTGATACTAAGATGTCACCCTTTTGGCTAGCATTTAGTACAGTCTCACTTGTTTAAATTGCTATGGGATATACATTATCTGTTAATTACCATTTGTGTATTTCTGAAAACTAGTAATATAAGAATTGGGGAAATCTTAGGCTACTATAGGACATACTTGTGGTTTTAAAACCATTTAAACCCTTGTTGCTTTGAATGCATGTTTGACATTACCTCTATGAAAGAGCCTTTAAAGGCCAGTTTCCTTCGCACATCATAAATAAGGTAGTTATTTGGTTTGATAATGGTAAGTGTGTGTCATTCTCTTTTTTGTTTCAGTCTTTCCATTCTAAAACCAGTCTCACTTGTCTTTGGTCATAACATAACTTTTTAATCAAAGATTGAATAAAGTTGGTGTATATTAAATTTTCCTAGACTCGGATACACCCTGCCATTTCTAATGAATTACCAGGCTGCACCCAACTAAGCCTAGAGAAGAGTAATCCACCCTTTCTTTGCTTAGGAACCTCGTTTCCTAAGCCTTTGAATAAGACAAACAAATGTTAGTACCCAAAAATAAAACCACAAAGGGAATTAAAATCAGAGCTTTTAAATAAGTACAATATATTTATAAATTGTTATACCATAACATCGTTAAATTTTGGAAATGTTAAAACGATAAAATACTTCTGGCATTAAAATGCAATTTCCTCCTTACTACCATGTTTGAAGTCAATGATCCTTCAGTCAACTGGCAAATATATTCAGGCAGGAGAGGGGCAAGGAAAGTGGTTAAGATCATAGTGGCTTTCACTTAGCGGGACCTAGATCTTCCTTTCTAATGCCATACTCATAAAAGGAACCAGAGTTCCTTAGAGAAGTAGCCATATGTAAATCTAACACCAGAGAAGGAAACATACAAGAAGAACCAGAAACCTCTTATAGTTTTGGAAAGCAAGGGTATATAAAAAAAAAAAAGATAAAACTGCAAGGATGGGGAGGAGGGACACAGGAATAAACTGAAAAAGTTCTTTTGGACAAACCAGAAACAACTTGAGCAACAAAATAAATACTTGGCATTAGACTACAACCCAAAGTATAAAATATTCACACATCAACAAATGATATCAACAAATAACTGAGTATATAAGTAAAGTGAAGAGGCAAATTTTCTGTATGGAATTCCAAATAATCTGTGTAGATACTGCCTCTTCAAGGAGCAAAGATTAACTCCTGACTTCATAAGTGTGAACTACACATAGTGAGATCTTTGCAAAGAGCTCAATACCTGAACAGGAAAAGGAAGAAGAGTAATGCACCGCTGCAGAAAACTGATCAGCACTACCTAAACCAGGTGATCCAAGGTCAACATAAAGAGTGTTAACTCATGATGATAGCATGTAACTTTGTGTGGTGTGATGAGAATGGCACTTGACACAAATTTAAATGGGAATTCTATAACCTGTCAACCAGTATTCCTTAAATCACCAAAACAAGGAAGTCTGAAAACTTTCATAGCTAGGAAGAGCCTAAGAAACTGACAAAATGTAATGTATTCTGGATGAAAATTCTAGAAGAGAAAAGGACATTGGATAAAACCTAAGGAAATCTGAATGAAGTATTATTGCGATAATAATTTGTCAGTTTTTTTTATTAGTTGTGGTAAATGTACCATACTAATGTAGGATGTCAATAAGAGGAGAAACTATATGTGAGTTGTATTGGGATTCTTTGTATATCTTCATAGTTTTTCTGTAAATCTAAAACTACTCTCAGAAGTTTATTAAAAATGAAGACTGAGTTATCCTGCCATGTTACTTCCAGGCAATGACTCTATTTGTAAAAATAATAGTGATTTTTATTTTTTAATACCCTTATAGTTAAAAGTATTAGGAGATCTTGTGAAGTAGTGAAAGTGAAATGATGTTGTTTACTCAGAAGTTTTAGAGAAGCTTTATCTACATATTTCAGGGAAATTGAATGGGATTAAAGAATGAGCTCTGTAGGCAATATTTTTCTGTAGAATAGTGGTAAGAATTAATAGTCAAAAATTCTTGAGAAATGACATACTTTTTACACTAACAGAGTCTAATATGTAAAGGAGTGTTGCAGGGAATTATTATTTAATATAAACCACTTCCATAACTAATTTGCTTAGCTAAGCTTATCTTTTAGCATAGTAGGCTTTCAGTTTTTTATCATTAAGTCTTTTTATACAATTTAGATATTCATAATGATCGCATTAATCATAGAGAATTTGTACCTGTACATGATACATGTTAATTCATATTTCTCCCATTCCCCTCCCCTTTCTTCTACCTCTCTTTCCCTTATTTACTAGAGCTTTGTTTCCATTTCATCTTTCTTTTCTCATTTTTTTTTCTTTTCCTTCCTTTCCCTCTCCCCCTTCCTTGTGCCCCTTCTCATTTGAACATTTCCTTCCTATTTCACAATATCCATTATATATTTTGGACCTTATTTACACTTTCAGTGTCTCACACCAGAGAAATAATGCTGTATTAACACATGGGTGTCTGATTTATTTCACTTGAGTATGGTCTTAGGGTGTCCATCCATTAAGCTATAAATGCCTCAAGTTTATCCTTCTTTGTGGCTGAGTAGTACTTTATATGTATATACAAAGTATATATGTAAAATCACATCTTTTTTGTCTACTCATTAGTTGATAGGCTTTTGGGTTGTTTCCAAGATTTCACCATTACAAAGTGTGCTGCTATCAACATGGTTGTCCATATATCACTGTGGTATGATGCTTTTAATTCTTTCGGGAAGATACCAAGAGGGGGACTAGCTGAGTCAAATGGGATTTATAATTCTAGTTTTTTGAGGAATCTCCATACTGATTTCCACAGTAGTTGCACCAGTCTACACTCCCACCAACAGTGGAAAAGCATTCCTTTTTCCCCATAGCCCTGCCTGCATTTGTTATTAGTTGATTTCTTCATAATAACCATTCTTTCTGGAGTGAGATGAAATTTCAGCATTGTTTTCATTTGCATCTCTTGAATGACCAGTGATGTTGAACATTTTTTCATGTATTTATTTGGTATGTACTTCCTCATCTGAGAAATGTGTATTCATCTCAGATGCCCATTTTTGGATTGGGTCTTTAAATTTGACGAGTTTGATCTTTTTCAGTTTCTTATATATTCTTCATATCAGTCTTTTGTCTGAGGAACAGATGGCAAAATTTTTTTCCAACTCTATTGGTTGTCCTTTCACTCTGTTGGTGATTTCTTTTGCTGTGCAAAAGCTTTTCAATAGAATGAGATCCCAGTTGTTGATTCTTTATAATATTTCCCATGCAATTGGGATTTTACTATATTGGTTTTTCCTACCCATGATCAAGGAGTGTCTTTCCATTTCCTCATATCCTATTCGATTTCCTCTTTCAGAGACCTGTAATTTTCAACGTAAAGATTTTTTACTTCCTTTGTTAGATTGATTCCTAAGTATTTCATTTTTGCATGCTTTTGTGAAATGTATTGTTTCTCTAATTTTTCTCTCAGTGAGTCTGTTGTTTGTGTTCAGGAATACTATTGATTTTTGAGTGTTCACTTTGTATCCAGCTGCAATATTGAATTGGTTATTAAATCTGGAAGTCTTTTAGCGGAGTTTTTGGGGTCTTCCATGTAGAGTAGCATGTCATCTGCAAATAATGACAATTTAGCTTATTCTTTTCCCGTCTTTATTCCTTTTATTTCTGTCTCTTGTCTCTGAATAACGTTTCTAGAACAATATTGAATAGGAGAGATGACATTATACATCCTTGTCTTGTTCCTGATTTGAGAATGAAGGCTTTCAATTTTTTGACCAGTTAGTATGATGTTGGCTCTTGGTGTTTCATAAATGGCTTTTATCAGCTTGAGATAAAGGTAATCTATTCAAACTGTTATAGGGTTTTTATCACGTATGGGTGTTGGACTTTGTCAAACGATTTTTATGTCTATTGAGATGATCATATGCTTTTTATCCTTGGCTCTGATAATATATATTACATTTATTGATTTGCATGTGTTGAACCATCCCTGCATCCCTAGGATGAATCCTACTTGATGATGATGTATAATCTTGATGATGTGCTAAATTCTGTATGCCAGTATCTTATTGAGAATTTTTGCATGTATGTTGATTAGGGAAATTAGCCTGTGGATCTCTTTTTTAGGTTGGATCTTCTCTGGTTTTGGTACCAGGGTAATACTTGCTTCTAGGAAAGATTTTTTGGGAGTATTGTTCCCTTTCAGTTTCATTAAAGAATTTTAGGATTTGTGACATTAGATCTTCTCTAAATTTCTTGTTGAATTCAGCAGTGAATCATTCCATCAAGATGTGGGCTTTTCTTTGTTGATAGTTTTTTTTTTTTTTGTACCAGGGATCGAACTCAGGACCTTGTGTTTGCAAGGCAGGCGGTGGCACCACTGAGCTAAATCCCCAGCCCTTGTTGGTAGGTTTTTAATAACTTCTTCAATTTCTCTGACTGTTTTG